CTTCAGATGCAGAAATCATTATGTGGACGATGAAAATCAGCTTCTGGGTGTCAATCCGCCCTTCTCCATGCATCAATCGAGCTCCAATGGCCTCAAAATTCGATCTAGATCACCTTGGAGGTTTGGTTCGTCGCTTTCTCCCTCTAGGTTTCACTTTCTTTCTCTAAAACTTGGATCATCGCCCAAAAACCCGAAATTCGCATCTAACAGCTGCAGCTCTCGAAAATCGGTTCAAATACCCGTTCGGGTACTTAGGGCTCTCGACCGGGGGGGCCTTCTGCTTCTCCGGGTCTCCCAGCCCGATATACCCGGTCTCCCAACCGCATATACCCGGTCGGATATTTAAGTGACCAGACCAGGTATTTTGCCCTTCAGCTCCTTGCCGCCAACTCTCCATTTTCGACCCAAAACTCGCTTCCAAGCCTCCCTTTCCACGCCAAGTCCTAAAATATGACATAAACGCACAACCTAGCATGAAATCGGTTTAAAACACGAGAATCGACTCTCAAACGGTTCAATAGTAGTGGGCAAAACATGTGCAGATAGCGGTTCATCAAGTATTAATAGAGTAGCCTATTTGGTGTCTAGAAAGGCCCTTTCACTGTACCCAGCGACTAGTCGTTTCTTTGACTTTCTGACCTGGCTGAATTCCTAGATGTAACTATCTTTTTTGAATTAAACCAGTGAGGCTAGCGGGTTAAGGTGATAGCTAGTAACAAAATCATGTAGATATTTTTTACAAGTAATTGCCTAAGAACAGTTATAAATTGTTATAAGAACCAAACCGGATCAACAGGCGGACCAATAAAATCGTCAAACCAGTTAGGATAGCAGTCCGATTCATTGTTTGGACGGTTATTGATGGACCAAACGGTTTTTCACAGTTCAACATAAAATTAGATGAACCATCACGGTTTAACTGGTCTATTGGTTCACTATTTTAATAAAGAAATGTAAAAACTTTAATATAAACTAATACCATCAAACCATAATTATTAAGTTATATGTGCTTCCTCTTCTCATTCCAACTTTGTTGTCGACTTTACATTGTCAATTATCGACTGACACCGTAATTTTTAATTTGAATTAAAAAATATGATTTCTCATGTGAGATGGTTTGAATGATTTATTAGATATTTTATTGATGATATGAATTTGAAATTGTTTATGTTCAATTATAAATGCATTATGAAATTAGTGTAATATACAAGTCTTATATGTTATATATCATGAACGGTTCTATCAACAGTTCACCAACAGTTTTGTAACGATTAACCATTAAACTCTAAACCACTCATTTTTCCGGTTCAGCTTCGGATCCGGTTCTAAAAACATAGGTTATAATACATACGGTAATTACAGTGAGGCTAGCAGGTTAAGGTCATAACCAGTAACAAAATCTTGTAGACTTTAGTACTTATATTTTGCAGATAGAGAGATGCATTTTGCTAGCAATTCGTAAAATCTTGATGGCAGCCACCACTAGATTTCCTTTAATTTAAAGGGAGGGTATCAGATAGATTTTAATTGATGTGATCAATTTTCCTCTGAAAATGACAATTAATCACTTCTCACTTTCAATTTTTTCTCCCTTTCTTCATTTATCTCCTAGCCATTTTCTAACTATGAATGAGTAACCTAAAGTGAAGAAAGAGTGGTGGTTCACGTTAAAAGAAAGTCCAGAGTGGTTAAACCCCTCTACTTACTTTTGCCTCTTCTCTTTTCTTCTTCTAGCTAATCAGGAATCAAAATGATTCAGTTGAAGAAATGTCACTAAAAGTAGGGTCAACGTATGCCCGCCACGTAGAATCACACTTACTACAAATAGAAATTTGACTTGGCCATAACGTGATGTTTTTCCCTTTTCCACTCCTGGCCTTTTTGCTTTCCTTTACGGTGGTTCATGCAGTAATTTTATGTGTAAATAAAAGAGAAAAAACGTTATGAAAATTATGCCCCAACTTTTTTTTTTTTTGGTTATCGAAACTTCTCCTCAAGCTATGGTTTTTACTTTTACTTGCTAGTTGCTTATAATTTTTTATTGGCCGCCAATAAATAAAATAAAGTAAACAAAAATTCAATGTATTCAGCGATTGGGTTAGTAATTAAAGAGATCTAAAATACAGAAACCCTTTAAATTGAGAGGAGAGGGAAGGGCTTGTATTGGTATTTATATGTATTTAATGATATCACATGGCAACTGGAAGGTGGCGAATGGCGATAATATGTGTGAGTTGAAATCAATTATCACCTAAATCAATTCTTAAGCTCCACTTAATTATTTGGTATTATTAGTTATTTAACTGTTGGTATTTAATCCCATCACGCGGAATTGTGAATTTTTAATGTACGTGCTTTGAAATTTATTGTGTTTGCACCATATTAACCTTGAGCATTAAAATCACTACCCAAATTAATAATACAACTTCAAGTTCAATAGGCTAGTGGGGAAGAAATATCAAAAGAAAAGTCTTCGTATTGTAGATTTCAATGTGTGGGAGAGTAATAGTGAATTCCTGTAAAATCCACGTGCCTTTTCTTTTGTAACAGAAATTCGCATGCCCTTCCGAACAAGAAAATTCACTACAAGACTGCAACTATAAAAGAACATGGGTTTGATGAACACCTTAGTCGAACGAAAACATTTGACGAATGAATTAAAGTTTATATGTTATTGGTTCGCATGCTAAATTCACTGGAGCGTCGTAGGGGAGCTAGTTTGTGAAAACTTGCTCAATATTTTGAGCTTTTCAAGAGAGGTTTCAGGTTTCTACTTTTTCTTCCTCGAGTCTGGTAAAGAATACTTTTTTTATTCTATAGTTTCTTTATGAACTTTTGTTTAAATTTTTTTATACATAATAATAGTAATAATAATAATAATAATAATAAAACAGCTGTTATACATGCCTTTTATTTGGTTAGACATTAAATATATTGGATGCGTTCTATTGAAATTTTAGGTGGGTTGAGAAGGGTGGTGATGATGGTGAGGACGTTTGAACGTGAAACCAAAGAACAGTCTCTTCCTCCACTGTTTTCTTCCATTCTAGTGAATTCAGTTTTCATGGTCATTATCTTACGTATCATGTAAGGACAAATTAAATAAACTAATAAGTTTTTCCCCTCTGTATTTGTTTTAGGGTTCTTCTTCTTTCTTCTTCATACTTACTGAGGGAATAGAGAGGGGGAGAGACTATTTGCCAATGCTGTCAAAGTCGAGCCGGAGTATGACCCGGTAACGTGAACGGCTCGGTCATTAGTGGTCCAGCCGGCATTAGACCGTTTAAAAACCGTTTGAGAACCGGTACCTAATAAACAGTCATCTGTATAAATAGTAGACACTTCTTAATCATGGTAAACCACAAGTAAATTACTCTCTTACAAAAGAAACATCGAATCAGCAAAAAAAATTGCTAAATGGGACATGGAAATCTCACGGCAGTAACACAAACAAACACAAACAATTTTATGCTTATCCTTCATACTCTCGGCTTGGCTTTAAAACAATTGAATTACTTTACAAATGAAAGAAAGAACCCTCACGCCAACTCTTCCTCTTGCCTACTTCTGTTCATCTACGCATTAAGATACAAACATGGACTTTAGTTACAAATGAAAGAATGAATTGATTACCTAGGCTAATTGGGGAAGAAGTTAATTGCCAATTGGAGAAGGGAGGGCAGCAGCAAAGGCAGCGGGTTGATGCAGGAGAGAGGCAGCAAGGGTCGATGCAGGGGAGACCTCACCGGATTCGCATCCGTTGCGCTCGCCGGCAGTAGGAGTCGACGACGATGGCGGCTTGGACGAAGGCTGCGGGGAACGGCGGCGAGTTGTGTTTTGGACGAACGGGGAAGGCGTCGAGATGCGTTTTGGCTAGCGTCGAGATGCGATGGCGACGACGATGGAACGACGACGGGAACAAACGACGACAGCGCTGGACGAAGGCTACGTTTCCGGTGGGCGACGAAGGCACTGGACGAAGGCTGCGGAGGAGCTGCTTCTCCTTCGTCGTCTGCGGCCGAAGAGGGAACGAAATAAAATTAGGGTTCCCTTGGCCTTGAGAGTTCAGAGTTCAGACAGCCTCCCGTCCCCTTTCATTTTAATTTTTGATTTTTAGTTTCTGTTTTTTTTTTAATTACATCAGCCGGCCCAAATGCTAAAAACCGGGCGAGCGGTTCGAGCGGTTAACCGCTTCGGCCGCTCGCCGACCGTCCCAAATAACCACTTCGGCTTAATAGCTGAGTCGAGCCGGTTTTATGGGCGGTTGGCGGTTTTTGCGGCTCGGCCGGCCGGCTCGGCTCGGCTTTGACAGCACTGCTATTTGCTCCAAATTTCTACCTTGTGCATACTCCATGGGCCCTTGGACATTTTCCCATTCATTAATACATTTCCTGGCCTCAATTTGCACTCCCTTCTTCTTCCTCTTCTTCTTCTTCATCATCATCATCCCCTTCCCTTCTACTACTACTACCAACACTCCCAATTGAATTCACATTCAATTCAACTCTCTCTCTCTCTCTCTCTCTAACACCCTCCACCTCTCCTTTCCCCTAATTAATTTTAAGCTTTAAAGAGAAGCCCATCATCCCCCCAACCCTTGTATATAATGCCCTTTAACTTGTTCAAATCGACCACCTCCAACCCCCTCAAAAACTGTTTCTTTACCTCATCATTTCTCCCACTCCTTAACCAAGGCTCTTCTTCTTCTTCTTCTTCTTCTTCTTCTTTCATCCATGGTTCAACAGTCCTAGCGCTTCTACCCACCCACCGCTTTCAATCATCCCACTTCCCTCTCTTTTTCTATTCCCCTGGACGTCACACAGTTGCAGAAATATACCCCTTCCAGTAAGGTAACTCAAAAACAGAGCGGGGTTCAGCAATCCATCAAATTGTTGTTCGAAATAAGCTAGCCCAATAGTTGTAGTAGGAATTTTAGCTCACTATGTGTCTTTGATGCTGTTTTGTCGCAGACAAGAGACAGAGGAGGCCTCAGCAGCAGGATGAGCCGCAGGAACAACAACAGGAAGCTGAAGCTGGAGCTGAAGCTCAACATATCGCCACCAAGGGGTGGTGGTAGCAACAGCAACAGCAACCGCCTGAGATTGGAGTCGTCGCCGAGCCGGTCAGCCACGGTGTCACCGACTTCCCCACCGAGCTCCTGCGTGTCGTCGGAGCTGAACCAGCAGGACTCCGACGGTGGGTTGAGGTATTCCAACAGCCCCGAAGCGACTTCCATGGTGCTCGTGGGTTGTCCTAGGTGCCTTATGTACGTGATGCTCTCCCAGGATGATCCCAAGTGCCCCAAGTGCAAGAGCACCGTCTTGCTCGACTTCCTCCATCACAACAACAACTGCAACATCAGGGGAAACAAGTGATCCAAAACAAGTTTTCTTAGGATTTAATCATTATTATTACTATAAGTGCTTCTCTGTAGGCAAATCTATCTTCCTATCCATGGTAAGTAGCACTATTTGCGCTCCATTTCTAAGCTTCATTCTCTGGCAGGCAACTTCACGAGAAAAAAACAAAAAAAACAATAACAAATACAAAGAGGATGGCAAAGCAGGCAGCTAAGTCGGATGAAGTGGAGCGCGAATAGCACTTCTTTTCTATTTTGTTTTTTTTTTTTTTTTTTGTATGTGGTGGGGGGTGTTCTAGTTCTCCTTTCTTCGTGGGCAAAATAGGATTCAACATTATGGGCAATATCAGAAGACCATATGTAAAACCGGTGTAGCTGCAGCAGCTGCCCAAATTTTCCTATGGGGAAAACTGCTTCGAAAGTGGCTTGCTTTTCTCTTTCTATTTTCCCCATCGTTCCCTCACCTATTAGGTTGTTACTTTTGGGGTATTTTGTACCATCACTTACTTGCTAACAAACCAATCACACCATGCCACATCAACAACTGCTGCAGAGTTCCAAAATTATACTGAAAAAGGAATCGTCTGAGCGTGAATCTAACCAGAGGGGGTGGCTCCTTCTTGTCTGTGTTTGTTCTCTTCAATAGGGGAGTGCCTCGATAGATGGGGGAACCACTGAGCAAGTGAAAGTAGAACCTGTGACCACAACCACAAGTTGGAAACTTCTATTCTCTTTATTTATTTTTTTTGGTAAAAGAACTTCTATTCTCTAACAAAGAAAAAGCAGCAGTTGTAAAGACAGTACGGCAGCGTTATGACTTATGACTCTAAGAGGGTCCCAGGTTCTGTAAAATACGAGTCAAAATTTCAAAACAGCTTCCTGAGTTTCTGTTAAAAGACAACCAACCCATGACCAAATGTGCCCAGTCCAAGGGAGAGTAGAGATGACGTACAGCTTCCTAATCACAAAGGCAGAGAGTGTCCCCAAACAGGGCAGCTTCTATATCCTAGTACTATGTTATGCTCTCTGTTGAAAAAGATACATGGCTGACTGGAGTTGACAAACCATACACGATAATAATAAAAAATAAAGTGAAGCAGAAAAGATACATGATATATAATTAGCAATGTTTAGAAGGATTTAGAGGTCGAGTCACATCTTTAACCAACTAAACCATTGAAACCCTAAACCCTACAGTTGAGTGAGAATCACGAACAGGGTCTAGGACAAACTTCTCAGATACAAAAACTTATCAGGTAATCCCAGGGTATGAAGTTGATGGGTTATTAGTCTAAAAAGTAAAAGGTATAGGAAGGAGAAGGGCAATTGGGTAAATGGAGAAGAGCTAGAGGTGGGTTGGGTTGGGTAGTTCGTCGTGCATTGAAATTTGAAACAAAAGGGGGGCTATATTAGATTGAAAGGGCCATTAAAAACACATAAATGCAAGAGTAATTGAGACAGTTGAGAATAATGAAAGGGCAAGGGGGAGAAGGGGCTATTACGTCAAGATGATAAATACAAATTAAATTCCCAACCCTTCAGCCAGCCAATCTATATTTTCATATTTTGTGTTGGCTAAATTGAAAGTTTGGTCACTCGAATTGCTACAAAATTTTATGTTTGGTCACTCGAATTCGTTTATTCCATTCGTAGTCACTTAAATTAGTTGAACAGTCCAAGTTCGGTCACTCTCCGTTAACCTCCGTCAGACTCCGTTAGTGTCGTCAGTTAACTGCTGACGTGGCTAATAGAGATGCCTAGTCACCCAATTTTAACCCAAGAAAAAACAAAAATTCCCGCCACGTCAGGAAAACGTGCCACCTCATACAAACACAACCCAACCCACCCAACCTAAAAAAAACCATTAACCCACCCAGAAATCGAACCCGTGACCCATCCACCCTTCTTCTTCTTCCTCTATACCTTGCTTCCGCCGCCGCCGGGGGATTTCCCCTCGATCTCCCTGCTGCAGCCCCGCTGCCGGATCCAGGGATTGGGAGGGAACCACTGCAGCAGCGTCCAGTCCACTGCAGCAACATTCAATTGAAGTCTGTTTCACATAAGTTATTAGTCAAATTCCCAGGGCGAAAGTGACAAGTAAGGTAAAGCAAGATCCTTGATTTATCTAAGAATTCTGCGTTGTTTTGGTGGAAGTGTGTGCAAAATTCTCAGTGCCCCACAAGCTGTAGCAAAAAAAAAAGAATGAAGCAAGAAGGGTGACTGACAAAGTGACGATCCTGAAACTTGAGTTGCAATGAAGGGCAAGAGGAGGGAGGGAATGAGAAAACAAGGCAGCAGAAGGAAAATATAGTATTGCTGAACTCACCCCATTCCCATTGGCAAGCAAAATAACCATGTTCAATGAGCTGAAAGTAGAATGGAAAGAGGGGGAAAACAACTCCCAGGGGAAGGACAGAGGTCCGAAAGAAAATCCTCCCACCATGGAAGTCGCGTTTGGGTTGGTGGTGTGAGATCTCGGAATCGCCCGCCAACAAATACCCTCCCTCAAAGCATAACAAACTCAGGTGCTAAAGCAAATGTCTACTAATATATATATATATATATATATATATATATATATATATATATATATATATATATATATATATATATATATATATTAGTCTTAAACGAGGAAGAAAGAAAAACATATTGATAAATTTTTTTTGAGTATAATAAACGAGAAGAAACAGAGGGAAGGAAGCGGATGCGTACCCAGCCAAAGGCGGAACCCACCACCACCAGTCACCAACAGAAACAAAACAAAATAACTCCAATCCGCACGGACAAATCCCCTGGAACCTAATCAACGAACGGACAGTCCCAGCTTCTTCTTCTTCCTCCTCTTTGCTTGATATGTGTGTGGAAGGCCAAGGAGGAGCTCCGCTGAGTGTTTCTCTGTCTAGAAAGTTGAGAGGGGAGAGAGAGAACCCCGGCAATGCGAGCTGGATCCGCCTCAACCGTTCATTCCTTGTCTCTCTATTCCGAATGCTTTTTGTTGTTGTTGTTGGCTCTGGATTTTGCTTTTGGAAGAGGCGAGAGGGGCTCTGCTGCGGACTGCGAGCTAAAGCTAAGAAAGACTACAGACAGGTATGAAATTGTGGACTGGACGCTGCTGCAGTGGTTCCCTCCCAATCCCCAATTGTGGACTGGACTTCGACCCGGAAATCTGGATCCAGCGGCGGAGGCTGCAGCAGGGAGATCGAGGGGAAATCCCCCCGACGGCGGAAGCTGGGTATAGAGGAAGAAGAAGAAGGGTGGATGGGTCACGGGTTCGATTTCTGGGTGGGTTAATGGTTTTTTTTAGGTTGGGTGGGTTGGGTTGTGTTTGTATGAGGTGGCACGTTTTTCTGACGTGGCGGGTCAATTTTTGTTTTTTTCTTGGGTTAAAATTGGGTGACTAGGCATCTCTGTTAGCCACGTCAGCAGTTAACTGACGACACTAACGGAGTCTGACGGAGGTTAACGGAGAGTGACCGAACTTGGACTGTTCAACTAATTTAAGTGACTACGAATGGAATAAACGAATTCGAGTGACCAAACATAAAATTTTGTAGCAATTCGAGTGACCAAACTTGCAATTTAGCCTTTTGTGTTCAATCCTTTCCTTTCCTTTTCACTACTCTACTCATCACTCACTAAATGCCACCTTTCTACTGCCATTCTCTATTCTGGTAAGTGAAGCACTTTCTCCCTTCCCTCCCATCTTTCTCTCCTTCTCCATGTTCATCTCATTCAATTCTTGCTTCTGTCTCCCTTATTTTCCCTTTCCTTTCTCCCTCCCTTGTTTTCTCATCCATCTTCCTTTCAAACCCCCTTCTTTAACGCACCACATGCACTCTTTCCCCTCATTCATACCACTTAAAACAAAATAAAAAGAGAAGTAAAAAAAAGTCTACTATATACAAGGTTGTGTAGATTATAATAATAAGGAAATGTCACAAAAATACTTCATATCATACCAATAAATGCTCCAATATGTTGCTGAAATAACATCCAACAGAAACTCAGAGACTAAGAAAGCCTAGGTCATGCACTTAGAATGGTCCAACGAAAATAACAAGGCCATACCGTCATGCACACACAAACTAACGAGAAACAGCCATCCACAACCATTAAGAGAATAGGTGAGCAAGAGGGCTGCAAAAAATGGCCTACCGAGAATGGGGGCATGGCTAGAAAACCACTCACTGGCTTGTTGGATTGGGGGCAAGTGCTTATGTCTCAAAGAAAGAATAAGAAAGCAATTCACAGATACAAAATAAATCAGTCAGCTAGTCAGACAGTCGAATCATATCTAATTTTAACAAAGTTAAACAGCCAACTGTGCAACCATTTTTTTTTTTTTGGCTTGCTGTTATTGCATTCATGGCTAGAAGCAACAGGTGATCAGACTTCAATCAAGTATATCAATGCGACAAATGAGCAACGAAAAATAAAGGCTTTAGATTCTGGTAAAAAATAAAAAGTACATCCTTTGATCTAACTTTTCTACACTCAACTATACACTATCCTGGTGAAAAGATGTCTCCTCACAGTCTAGATCATCATCATTTATTAAATTATAATAACACTCCACAAGCACCATGTTCAATTGTTTGTTGTTTGTATATGGTGTGTCACATGATGAGTGTGTTTAACTGACATGGAAATCTAATTTGACTCGGCCACTGCAGAATCAAATGTTTGCCACTTGTATTTCCTTCAACGTTAAGGAACTTCATGAAGCGAGATTAAAGATGGTTATGACTTATTTGCCAAAGCAAATATTCATTTCATCACTTCTACGTTTTAACTAGCTTGCTACAGTATACATAAAACCCTAACTTATAACGATTCAAAGGCATGTCTGACTAAATGCTGGCTTCTTGTAGGAATCATTATAAGTTCTGAGGGAACTCAACAAAATCGGTTACCTTAAGAAGCATCATGCTTTTCCTTTGATCACCAGCCAACCTGCAGATAGAACAGCATCCTACCAATTGTACAAGGGTCAGTTAAGTTAAACTAAACTCGACAGCAAGTGCATCAATGCCTCCCAAAAAAGAAAAGTCAATACAAAGGATTTACTGCACTCGCCATATTTATGTAGAGAATCATAAGGAAAAACAAAATTTTCCAATAGGTGAGTAGCTTTACCTTCTGTAGTAGTGATAGTTTATTTTACCGCTTTCCCAGCTTGACGCTCAGGCTATTTTACCGCGTTTGACTGCAGTGATTTGGTGAAAATGTGTAGAATGAGAAATTTTATTAAAACGTAAAAATGTTGATATTTTCATAACATATTTTTCAGTTTTTACGGAGTTGTTTAGTCAGCCGTACAAATTTATCTTTTCTTTTTGATTTGTTATATCATATATATAATATTATTATTTCACCAAAAAAAATATATAATATTATTATATTCGTTTCTGTGGACCTATTATCCCAAATTGCCCTCATCGATCTTCTTTATTCCCGACTTGGCCTCTCACAACCTTTCCTTTCTTTCTTAGATTCTTCTTTCATCTCTGACCTCCTCCATCCTCCCCTCCCCTCTCCCGCTGCAGTTCTCGGTTTTTCACGTCGACCAGATCTCAGCCCGACGGTCGCTACTCCCCCAATTTTTCACAGTCTCGATTCACCCATGACGCTTGGCTCAGGAGGATCGAGTGTTGTGGGTTCGTCCCTTACTCCCCCTTACGTTTCCTTGTTTTCGTCATATCTCGCTTGCTATCTTTCCTCGCTTACCCCATCCTATCAGCTGATGGGCTCGATCTGTTAAGGCTTTTTATTGCTTACCTGACGTGGGTTTTCAATTCTGTGTTCCTAGGTTTATCTGTTTCCTTTGGTTTTATTCCGGTTGATTTGGAAATTTTCTTCTTGGTGGGGTTCCTCGATTATGAATTTTTGTTCGTTTCCGTCTTATTTCCCATTCTTGTGATTCGTCTGCCAATCTTCTGAAAATGAGCTGATGAACAGCTTTATGCCAAAAAAGAAAATCTTTTTAGTTCAACAGCACGTCTGTCATTGACTCTCCTCCTTGAGCTGTTTCTGATTATGTTTTGTGGTCCTTTGTTTGCTTTTTGGATCGCTGCTCTTGTTTTCGCAGTCTTAATCTTTGTAGTGGTGGTCTTTATCAACTCGTCTTGTTCTGAGAGCAGTAAGAATGCTATGATACACCTAAGAAACAAATATGTATCTGATCCGCTTGTACTCTGAATTTGATTAAAATCTCATTGGAAAGATTATGCTGATTGCTGAATGGTAATGATCACTGAGTCTTGAGAGTTTGATGCATGTTTCATCCATACCTGAGATGAAACCTCTCGGCATTCATGACTGGGAGCTTGACGTTAAAGGACTAGCTTTGGTTACTTTTACTAGTGTTTCTTTGATCCATGTGAAAGTGTAGGAAACTGGAGCGAAATGTGATTATTTTCGAAGCTGACCATTTTGTTCCAGTCTCTTTCTGTTCCATTATCTTTGTATCTTATGATTATTTGTTTCTAAATCCCAATGCTTACTGTGGTTTGTGACCCCAATTGAATTTTGGTTGCAGTCCCTAGGAATTTCAGATTGCTGGAAGAGCTCGAACGTGGGGAGAAGGGTATTGGAGATGGCACTGTAAGCTATGGAATGGATGATGGAGATGACATTTACATGCGCTCTTGGACTGGCACGATAATTGGTCCTCACAATGTAATGCATTACTTCACTTTTATGCTTTTAGAACTATGAACTTGATTAAATAATATGCTTTCTGTCAACATGCAGTCTGTGTTGAGTAGGATCTTTGGTATAACCTTTCAACATTTCTCTACTCCCAATCTATTGACATTTTGGTTTCACTGCTTACCCCAACATTGTATATTTGCATTAACTGCCCCTCTTTCTTTTCCTTGATCCCAGTAGGGACTTGAGATTGATATTTTTGTTAGATGATGTGATTCTCTTTTTGTTTTTGTTCTTATGTATGCTATTTGATTGATTGTTTCAATTCAACCTCGACTAGAGCGGTTCTGAGTTCCGACTTGCCTTTAGCCTTGGCCCATTCTGATGTTTCGGCGCTCTGCCTACCATGACTTGTTCACCTTTTGTTTGCTTAGGTAGTCTAGTTAGGCTTGTTAAAGTTGCAAGTTTTAGGCTTCTTGGAGTTCCTGAAGTGTCTCATTCTCAGTATGCTGCATTTATGATGTGGATATGATAAATTAAGTTAGTATGTGCTCTGTTTAAGTTAAGATCGTTTCCTACAAGTAGGATTTCTAACTAAAGGAGGATATTAGGTGGGGACTAGATATTCTTTGGATTCTAGTCTTCTGGATATTAAGTGCATAGATATACACATTCAGGTGGATGGGGCTGACAAAACTTGATATGTAATATTTTGTTTCGAATGTAAGGTACTTTACTGCATTCAATGGTTCTACTGCTTTTTTATTTATTTATTGCATTTCAATTTTTATCAACCTTATTGCCTAAAATGTTTTTTTTTTCTCACCATCCCAGACTGTACATGAAGGCCGGATTTATCAATTGAAGCTTTTCTGCGACAAAGATTACCCTGAGAAGCCACCTAGTGTTCGTTTCCATTCACGAGTCAACATGACTTGCGTAAATCATGAAACCGGAGCGGTATGACTCTTTATTCTTCATGTGTAGGATTGTTTTGAATTTGTGCTTCTCTTACTCTCATGGTTTAAGTTTTTGAGTAGTATACTCCTGGTGGTACTGAAATCGTGAGCAATAACAAATCTTACCTTAGTCTATGGATGGCTCTGTGTTAATCTTCAACATGACTAGTTTACTATTGAAATGGTGGCAGGTGGAATCGAAGAAGTTTGGACCGCTTGGGAATTGGCAGAGAGAGTACACGATGGAAGATATACTGACACAGCTGAAGAAGGAGATGGCAGCCCCACACAACCGGAAGCTTGTGCAACCTCCAGAGGGAACCTACTTCTAGCCATGAAGAAGGAAAGGTGGTGGAGGCTAATGATGGAACATATCAATTGCCCGGACGCAATCCCGGGCACATATACAAGTTTGTAATGGTGGGAACTGGGTGAGGTTTTTGGGACATACAATTGAATGTGCCCCCCCTTGAAGGAAAGCCAGCCTTCTCTACTTGGTCTGGGTCTCTTTGTGTCATTTGGTTGCCTTATTTCCTGTTGAATCTGATGTGTCCCGAAGAAGGAATGCTGCTGTTTGATTAATGGGATATTTTCATGTGCCATCAAGTATTTAAGGTAGTTCCCTTTAAAAAAAAGTATTTATGTGGTAGTCAAATGTCGTTCGACTTTCACTCGTACTTTAGCTTTTTATATATCACCTCTTTGACATTTCCCTACACCATGAATGCTTTCATCCCTTGTCTTTAGTGCAAAAGCAGCAACAGTAGCAAGATGGATGGTGCAATTTTCTGCACTAAACTTTGTTTCTAGGGATCTGTCATAACGAGACGAACTTTGTTTAATAGCAATGTTAATCTCACGTGAATCTTGTTTATAGTACTTGGAAAGGTCAAGCTTGATGGGCTGATTGATTAACGTTCTGAACGAGTCATTTTCTTTGGAGGTGGGTTCATTGCACATGGATGGTAGCTAGCTTATGGCTGCCTTTTTAATCGAAGCAAGCTGGGAATATTGCTCAGATCGCAGCATTGACGCCACCGCCGCACGTTTTAGCCTGCTTCGAGAAAGGAGGTAGTGGTGAAATTACCGTCTGTGACCCTCCAACATAGTTTGGCACCTCAGTTGCATCATTCCCCAGATGACAGACACAACTACCACTCAAACAGGCACGAGAAGAGACTCAAAAGCTCTCCCCGTAAAGTCTTTTTGCGCATTTATGTAAACTATTTCTTTTGTAGAATCTTATATTTATTTATTTATTTATTTCAATGAATAAAAGCAACTTTTCATTAGTGTCTCTCACACTTCTCCAAGTATGAGTGAGAAAATTTCTAGTCATTTTTTTTATCTCACTCTCCATTCTACAACCTTTGTGTTTAGTTATTGTTCACTGAGTTTTTCGTCTATGACTTTTTGGACAAATCATCACATTTTCCCACCATTTTGTAAACAATCTCGAAATACTGTCGGCGAAATCCTAAGTTCTTCCCCACCACTGTTTCCTAAGGCCGCTACCACGATTTTTGTATCGGGACCGAGTTTCATCCTCTTTAGTGTTTATTTTTCCTTTCTTTTTTCGTTTTTGTTGAGCATGATCACAATTGAACCCAAACACATGGGTATCCTAACTTCCACACAAATCATCGCTTTTGCCCACCATTTTGTAGCCAATCTCGAAATACTGTCGACGGAATCCTAAGTTGTTCCCCACCACTGTTTCCCAAGGCCGCTACCACGAGTTTTGTATCGGGACCGAGTTTCATCCTCTTTAGTGTTTATTTTTTCCTTTCTCTTTTTCCTTTTTGTTGAGCATGATCACAATTGAACACAAACACATGTGTATCCTAACTTGAACACAAATCATCGCCTTTGCCCACCATTTTGCAGCCCATCTCGAAATACTGTCGGCAGAATCCTAAGTTGTTCCCCATTACCATTTCTCAAGGCCGCTACCACGAGTTTTGTATTGAGATCGAGTTTCATCCTCTTTAGTGTTTTTTTCTTTCTCTTATTCCTTTTTGTTGAGCATGATCACAATTGAACCCGAACACATGAGTCCTAACTTGAACCCAAACACAAGGGTGTTCGCTAGGTTTACATCTATTGTCCATTGTGTTTCCCATACAATTATTGCCTACTAGGTTTTCAGCTCTCTATTGCAGCAACTATCCACTTTTCGCACCATTTCGCAACCCAACTCGAAACACTGTTGGTGGAATCCTCAGTTGTCCTCTTCCACCGTTTGCCATGGCCGCGATCAAAGATCCATACTAGATATGCTCTGTCCAATCCTCAACATCGCTCACCAATTCACAACTTACTCAAAACACTGCCTAATTCATAAATTTCGATCTGGTCAAAGTGACTTGAAACCGACTTTAGCATTTATAAGTTTCTCTTTTTTTTTTTTTTTGGTTGGGAAGACAATTGAACCCGAATCTAAGGTATTGACGAGCGTTGTATTGTGAGCGAGTTTTATCCGCTTTTGTAGTTCGCAGGTTGGACCAAGTGTTTATTTGTTAAAAAATTGTTCAAAGCGAGTTGAACAAGTTGTTGACCAATTTTAGATCGAAAGCGAGTTTTGTACGCTTTAATGTTTTTTATTTCTCTTTTTCTTTTCACTGAGAATGACAATTGAACTCTGACCCATTGTTGACGCGTTTCGTATCGAGAGTGAGTTTTATCCGCTTTTGTAATTGAAAGGTTAGGTAAATTGTGAATTTGTTAAAACTGGCTCGACCTGGTCAAAGCGAGTTGAACGTAGTGTTGAGAGTTTGGGGTCATGAGCGAGTTTTATCCGCTTTAGTATTTTTTTTTTTATCTTTTTCCTTTTGGTTGAGAATGACAATTGAGTCCAAACGTATGGGTAGACAACCTAATTCGACCCGACCAAAGCAATTTGAACCCAGTTTTACAGGTTTTCGACGGGAGAGAGTTTTATCTGTTTTTGTAATTGGCGGGTTGTGTCAGGTGTGAATTTGCCCGAAACTTTATTCAACTAGGTAAAAGCGAGTTGAACCTGGTGTTGACGAGCTTTGAGTAGGTAGCGAGTTGTAGCTTTATTGTTTTTCATTTCGCTTTTTCCTTTTGTTTGAGAAAGACAATTGGACCTAAATCCATGAGTATCCAACCTAATTTGACCCGATCAATGGGAGTTGAACCTACTAAAACCGGCAATCAGTCCAAAAATTTCATAAAGGAGAAACACATTTACATCAAACAAAAAAAGTCAAAGAGTACGACTATGATTGTTTTAAAAGTTGAATCCAAGCCAAACACCTCTAAAGTTCCGTTTTTTCAAAAGCCGAAGTTTTTCTTAATTTAAAAGCAGAAGCTCCGGTTTGAAAATACAAAATTGTCCTTAGTCCTTACCATATATTATTCATTTTCTAGAAAATATATATTTCTTTCATTTATATCATTATAAAATAAATAAATAGAAAATAGTATTATTTAATATGAAGTAAATCTAACGTGATCCATTTTAAATATTAATTATTTTTATTTTAGAATTTGTATTTATATTTTATGTTAGAAATCTTTTTAGTAATTTTTTTTTTATGAATGGTAAGGTATATATTTCATCAAAAGACTGTACTTGTGGCAATAGCCCTTGCCACTAGGTCACTTCTACTACTGTAACACTATAAATGAACTCTAAGCCAAGAGAAAATCCAAGCAAAGCATCTAATTCACATTCACAAGAACTTCTCTTTTTTAGTAATTTTACATTACCTCTTATATTAGAAGTAATTCTGATTTTTTTCAGCTAAATACTCAACATTTTTTTTAAATACTTCTTGAAAAGATCCAGAGAAGTTGCTTCATTCTGCAAAAACTACATCAGGATCAACTACTAGTCATACAAATTGAAACAACAATGTCATGAAAGAAGTTTAAACATAAATAATCTATTTGACGACGCTTCTAGCCTATGCAAGTTCATCGACCATATGTTATTGTAAATAACAAATCTATGAAAAGAATGATTAAGAATAAAATAAGATTACTTTCACTTTCACTTTTGGGTCAACATTAAGACTTTTTTTAAAATATTTATTTTTCTTATATGCGAAGCGATAGCGAGCAGGGGTTTGCTATTATATATATATATATATATATATATATATATATATATATATATATGTCAGTGATAAGAAAATAATTATCTATTTGCAAATATAATTGCTAATGACACCCATTAAAATTATATACATATGATATAGTCCTTGAAAAAATGTTACCATTGCTTTTCATTTATAGTACCTGTTTTTTTACTCATTGTTTCGAACACCCAAACTTTGTAGCGCTACTAATTAATTCTCCATCGACAATTTGGGTGATTGCTTACTAAATGCCAATCTTTCTATGGGTGAATACTGGATTCTTATGTCGTCTATCTCCCACGAATCCTCCATGCAAGAAATCGGTCAATCCCTTGGCCTAAATCTATCTCTTGGCGGCTTCTTTTTCTTGTCGTTCTCTCGCTTCTTTGACAAACGCAACCCTAGCTGCCTCAATCTCTTCCTAGCGGCACACTGTGTTTTCACTCTGCTTCTTTCTCTTTGAAACACATAAAGAAACAACACTAGGGAAGGTGAGATCCACTGCGGCTACTGAATTAGGGATGCCCCTAACCCTCGCCATCTCCACCCTCCTCCTTATCTCTTCTTCTCGACGGTGAACGGAGGAAAAGTAGGGAAGATCGACTACACCGAGATTGTAGGATGATGGCGGGATAATACGTCAAGACCCGGATCGACGAAGCGACGCTTGTTGATGATTCAAACACGATGAAGTTTTTTTTTGTAATATGAGTTTTTACCTTGTTGATGCTTGTTAATAATCGATTTTGGAAACCTAGTCATCTAATCCCCTTTCAAAATGTGAAGTACAGACAGAAGACGAGAGGGGGACTGTCCCAACAGGAATCAAACAAGGAAATTCAACGAAATATGACCAATGGACTCAGGCGTGTTTCCATTTACAAAATCAAATATCAATTTCGGTTTCCTATGATATGTTTTGGAGTTAGTGAACTCGTTTAAGTTTTTGTATAAGTAGGCATGATTCGGGCTCATTTGTACACTTTTTACCACCGGTTTGCTTAGTCGTTTGAAGCATTTTTACTCCGGGAGGTTTGATTTTACGCCGAGTTGTGCCTTATTTTGGTGTTTTTCAGACTTAGGTAGGTGGAACCAACCCCAGAGTTGAAAGTTGGACGAAAGGGCGAAAGATCAAGTTAAACGATGGAAACAGCAGTAGTTCACGGTTTGGGCTGTGAGTTCACGGTCAGTAAGACCGTGAACTGGAGGCGATCATCGCGAACAGCCAGGCATCCAGAGCATAAAAGGGTTTTCACTAGACAAGAGTAAGTTCACGGTCGTAGACCGTGAACTCATACCATTGCTCATGAACTGGGATAAGTGATGCGGCGTGTTTCATCGTTGTTTCGCGGTCTAATCTTTCAGTTCACGGTTGTGAACTAAGACCGTGAACTGAGCTCGATCTGGGTATATAAAGGAGGTTGAGCCAAAGGAGAAAAAGGGGAGAGACCTAGTCTGAGAAACTTATTCTTCTTTAGATTTCTAGAGTGAGAAAGTGACAAACCAAAGAAGAGGAGAAGCTAGGGTTTCATCTTCAAGCAAGGAATTGGTAATGTCTGGTTCTGTTGCAATTGCATCATCGCAGGTTTATCAGGAAGATATGACCAGTCTTTGGCACATGTGATTGGGTCATATGAGTGAACGAGGGATGCAAGTCTTGTCAAAGAGAGATCTTCTTTGAATTTTGAATTCTGCGAGCATTGTGTGTTTGGGACGCTACATCGCAGCAAGTTTCCTAAGAAGGACATCCACCGAACAAAGGGGATACTGGATTACCTCCACTCCAACTGTTGGGGTCCTTCACGAGTTGAATCCATTGGAGGCAGTATGAAGGGATTGCCCGTCATCGGACCATTAGAGACACACCACAATAGGATGGCATTTCAAAAAGGATGAACCAGATGTTGTTGGAGAGAGAAAGGTGCATGCTCTTTAATGCTGGACTGGAGAGAAGATTCTGGGCAGAAGCAGTAAACATGGCGTGCTACCTCATCAACCGTGGACCTCACACAAGTATCGAGTGTAAGACTTCTTATGAGGTGTGGCATGGTAAGCCTGATGATTACTCTTCATTGAAAGTTTTTGGTTGTACTGTTTACTATCATGTGGATGAGGGTAAGCTGAATCCAAGATCAAAGAAAGGTGTTTTCGTGGGTTTTGGAGATGGAGTTTAAAGATTTCGAGTCTGGTCACCTTCTGAGCATATAGTTACACTTAGCAGGAATGTGATATTTGAT